TTGTAACGAATGAATCTTATTATACGAATAATATAATATTTGATTTGTGAAAATTTAATGAGAGCAAAATACTAAAAACGGAAACTCGAGCGAATATTTGTGATCCGTATGTAAATGAATGGTTTTGCGAGTTATGTCCTTTTTTTGTTTTATTCTCTTCGCTATCATTACTGAACATAATGGTTAGTTTATTTATTTATTTATTTTTTTTTTTTTTGTGTTCAATTATTTTACATTTCTATAAAGGTTTGGACACAAGAACTCTGTAAAATTTTTTCATTTATTTGTATATGTTTAGCTATATGCACACAAAAAATTCAAGTTTTGACGCATGTTCTATGCATGCATGCCCGCATGCATGTATTTACATTCAGCTGTCCATAATAGAGCAACAATTCGTAAAGCAAACACTTTTCAAAGATGATTTGAAAAGCTCGTTTCGCATCTGATTACTTAATATAACTATACGTAGAACTTTCAAATCTTCTTGAACAAAAAAAAAAAAAAAAAAAAAAAGAAAAAAGAAAACAAAATGGAAAAAGTTGATCTAAACTTTGCGTAAACAAAATTTATTATGTTTTCTAGAAAAAGAAAACAAAAAACAATCAATGCTTTAGGTTATCATAAACCATGCATTGCATTATATGTGAATAATAGATGCATTCATGTATTTTGATCGACGATATCTACTGGTGAAAATGGTAAAATACTGCAAAGTTTTCAATGTTCGCAACGGGTAAATTCGTTGATTTGGGTCTTTCTCAACACAAAAGAACCGATTCTATTTAATATTATGGAAGTATTAAATGTACACAGACTCTAATCACGAAATGCTCAAATTTGCATTTGCAAAATTCATTGCTTTTGCCGCTTGCCGTCATACCCCAATTTGTCGATTATGGTTTCAACGGTTTAAACTCGGCGGTTTCGATGCCAATTCTTTGTAATAACCTGGGCGACCAAAAATTCTCATCCTCTGAAAGAACTTTCGAACAGCTTAGCATTTGTCGAATCAACTAATCGTGGACGTTTACCTGCGATGGGATAGATCCAAAAGGATCCACCATACGAACTGACTGAAAAAGAGAGGTAGACAAAAAAAGAAGAGTGTTCTGACGACGATAACTGAGTCTACTACAACAATGCCAAGCGCAGAAAGCCATGGGTTAATCCTGGGGAGCCGACCACCTGAACACTCCAGCGGAATATTCATGGCCATAAAGCTTTTCTGTGCATATGGTGTAATCAGCAAGGTGTAGCGTATTAAAGCCGCGAATGCAACTGCTACTGCAGATGTCTACCGCCGTCAATTGAATATTGTTGCAAAAAGACGAGTATTAGTGAGTAACAGACGTCTGCAGAAGTCTGCATGCAATCTTGCACGACAACGTTCGACGACATCTTGCTATAATATATGTCAAGGATACATTGTTGCAGCGCGAATGGATAGTTCTGCCGCACCCAACGTAGCCTACAAACATAACCCCTTCTGATCCTTACAGCATAGTTTAGCTGGCCCGCGGTTTCGAAAAGCCGAAGAAATGCGAAAATGGGTCAAGGAGTGTTGGATCGTTTTTCATACGGTACGGCCATGTTGCCCGAACGATGCAAGTGAAATCTTACCATATGTTGTATCAATTTTTCTCAGTAAATGCTTTTCTTCCCCAAGTGGAAAAATTGATCGAAATACTTGCAAGCACTTAATAAATATTAAAAATTCTTTTAATTCGTGATCAGCTACTTTCAGTTTTAGTTAACTATAGGGGCTTGTATAAGTCTATGTATGTGTATACATAGGTCAGTGTAGTTGAATAAATGAAAACTTAACATGATGAGGAGGAGGGCCATGAGTGCATTTGAATTTAAATTGCTTATAATTTGCGCAAATGTATTAAAGCATTGACCGAGAGCGCATACATCCAGAGTGCTGTGTATAGAAGAAAATGAACACACCCACATCATTTTGTTTCGAACAACAATACGTACTGAGGCAAGCAGCAGATATCCGTGCATTTTAATCATCAATTATGCAAATATTCTACCAACCCGTGCACGCGACAAACGTTCGGCTTTGTCATTCTTTTTATACATACATATATACATACATACATACATACATACATAGATATTATCTGGCATTTGAATAATTTTGCGGTTTTCATTTGTTACATTTTAGGTTATGTTTTTATTTGTTTTGTGTGCAATTATTATGAATTTAAATGAAAATTTTTGGAGAATTTCGCAAAACTATAATTTTGAAAAATGCCGCAGTGAGTAAATTAACAAAAAACACGAAAGTACAAATTACTTCAGATGGAGAATTCAAAAATTACCGCTCACCAAGTATCGCGCTTATACATACGCTCGTTTAAGTAGTAAGGAGCAAAACTAATTTTAGTTTGAATTAAAGATTCTTTTGCAAATTTAATGAACATTACAAAGGCATGACACCACACCACACCACACCACACCACACCACACCACACCACACCGCACCAAACCAAACCGAAACAAACCGAACCGAACGAAACCGGTTAACATATATAAGGGTCGTTAGCTCTAAAAGAGATGACAATTAACTATTAATGTTCTAAATGAAACAAATTTCATTTCTCTAATGTAGACAAGTTTCACTTGTCTCTCGACGTAATTATCACTATATATTTCGATGATGACTTTCGCGAGTGCAACTTTTCTTAGTTAAACATAAAAAGGATGCCTTTATGATAGGAAAGGGTGTATCTTAGATAAAATATTTCATGCCATGACGATGATGTGTGTACTGGATGTCGAACCGTCCATTAAAAATGATATCGATAAAAGATCGCGCAAAGCAACACGCACATCATCTCTCTCTTCATTGAACTGAATGCCTAAATATTTTCAATTCACTAAAAGAACTCAGAAATTAATTGCCTGCAAATATTACATAATAAACATATCGTTGATAATTGTAAGCATTGTCATGCTTAAGTTGTACCGTAGAAGCTTCCGCTTGTAAAACTTATACCGGATATATATATATATATATATATATTCTCAGTTTTATTATGTACACATGTGCTTAACAAAAAATTGCAGAAACAAATACCATACGATTCGATATATGTTGAATATAATTTTGTTGAAAAGTTTCTAAAGTTAAGTATTCGCTGCGGTCTATAATACGATGGCTGTCATCGCAACGATGTGCATTTTAAACGTCGATACATTTTCAAGCCATTAAAGCCAATAATCTGAATACGTAGCCTGACGACGATGTACTTAAAGTCATTTCTTTACTTATTTTCATTGTTTCACTCTTTTATTTACTTATTTATTTATTTTTGTTTTACGATTGTTTCTCTGCGGATAGATTTTTTAACGGCTGGCAATTTGTAAAAAAAAAAAAATAAGATGTAGAAGGAAGTAAAAGAAAGCGAAAAGAAAAATTAAAGACCTTGTTTTTCTTCTTTTTTTTCTTTTTGTTGCAAATTTAATGTTCGCAATCGCGGTCCGTCGTTCTTGTAAATGAACTATGATTGCCCCAGGTCGGTATTTTATTTTCCATTGTTTGTTTGTGCTTTCTCTGTTTACATTCGACTTTAAACTTATGCATCGAACGAACGAACGGAGAATCATTTTCCTGATCGCTAAATTTGTTCAATCATTAATAAAAACTTTTCCAACATATTGTCCATAAACGAATTCCGAATTATGCGACCCAAGTCTTTATTACTTAAAATTTTCTCTTAAAAAAAAATTTCTGTCTTCATTATTAACCCATTTTCAGGGAGACAATTGAATCAATTGATGATGGTACGTCGTTCATATCAAAGTTCAGTCAAAGGTCATTGGTAATAAGTCTACAACCACCTCAGTTGTAACCCTATCATGCGTTCCGCATATGTCTCAATAAAAAAAAATTACAATTAAAAAAAGCAATAATTCGGTTCTCCAATTAATTCAAATTTTGCGTATATATACATACATACATATACATGTATATATATGTAAACTTTGGAGTGCCATATATAGGTTAGATTACTCTACCTTTATAAAATTTTTCATGAATGTTTATCATAATAAGAAGAAGAGAATTTCGCCTTTTTAAAAATGCGACGGATTGAACGAATTGGTCTCTTTATATGGACGAGTTGTCAACATGCATTGCCACATGACCATTGTATTTAATTCCACTCAAAGTTTACTTGCAGTAAAAAAAAAAAAAAAAGAAAACAAAAAAAAAAAAATTCAATTAATTCGTGGAAACTTTCATGTGAATACAAATTTAAGGATTTTCATGGGAAATTTGCATAAGAACAGCGAACAAATTGATTGATTTCGCCTTTTGGCGAAGAAAGCTCAAGAGCACAAGGCATCGAATAACTGTATATTGTTCGCTTAATGAAAGCAAACGTGACTGTACTTAACAGCTAAATATGTGCAACGATGTTAAGCCGGCAAACACGAATCCAATTTATGCCATTAACTGAAACTGTAGACGTGGAAAAGCTAAGCAAATAAATTCCGGTTGAGAAGTTCATAACAAAATTACAATTGTTTGACCGACCTTTTCATTAAGAGACCTTCTCTTTTTATTAATGACGCGCGGTATTGAGTGCGTTTCATTATGATCTGTACCTTGCACAGAAAATTTCGATTTTCTCGCTATTCATTTGATTTTGTTCGCATGATTATAAAATATAATTAATTGACAGGAAGTTTTGCAACGCAATGCAATGAAATGGAAACACTTTGCTGCCTTTAATGTGCAAATATTCGAATAGTATAACTAAAAGTATATACATTCCAATCGATGTATTATGTTAGTAAATAATAGTTTGCCAAAGGTTCGACCATCTTTTGTTATCCATTATCTACCTAACTACCTCCCTTGAAGTGTCTTAAAAACTTTTCTATAATTCATGCATTTTGAAATTTACGCCCACTCACTTACAACCTATGAACATTAAGTTGCAATGAACGAGGAACGAATATATTATCTGCGGAAAAGTATATTTTTAACTTCAATAGACTCGAATTTTTTTTTTTTTTTTTTTTTATTATAGAAAATTATCCCAAGATAAATAGCATGGGGCACTTTTCGGCTGAACATTAATATAAACAATCACTCAAAGGTTGTCCTCTATGCGTGATATTCAGGAGAAAGTGGGGAAAAGGAAAGAAGAAAGAGGAAAGAGGGAAGAGACGAGAAGTGGACGCAGCCTTACGCAGCCTCCAAGCGGTCAGTATTATGCCAAGTAAGCTCAAGACTTAAAACCACGAGCGTCAACGTGATAGCCGCGATTCCTGTCTACTATCGGCTATGCGACATATAGTTAATATTTTTTGTTGTCTTTTTTAGCAATGGAATCATTGTCATATTGTTGTTTTTTTCTTTTTTTTATCGGACTTGCGGGAACATTTGTAACGAATTTTAACTTCAACGTGTTGACGCATCGATGAAATCGTATTGAAATTCTTAAGGCATACTTTTAGCTTTGATCTATTGTGAACGTGTTACAGGATCCAACAATAAATCACGGACAGATAAATGGAACTTGGGGTTATTATGAATAAAATGACAAAAGAAAATAAATATCTCTTTACCCCTTGGTGACAACAATGAATGTATTATCTTGAATATTCGATGGCGTTATTCTGTTTGACTGTACGGTGTTCTGAAACTTTTTGGCAGAAGGGATTTAAAAAAGAGAGAGAGAGAAAAAAAAAGAAGCAAATTGTGCAAATAAACAATATATACCGCATAATATGTAAGCACTCGTGCACTTACCCTTCAGACTTGACATACGATGGAAACAACAGATGGAAATGTACGTAGGCGAACTTATGTACGCGAAGTTATGGTCATTCGCAAGCAGGTTTATTGGCATCACATGCTTGCATATGTTTTAAATGAGTGGCAAAATGTTTTTCGCATCAATATTTGTGGATAAGATTATGTGCAAAATGCAATTGTCAGATCAACAATCCGTCCAGTTCGATGACTTGTCACATTCCCAGGCGCAGACATGCAGAACATGCTGATAATGTCCTTTCTGATGTCCTCTCTCTCGGCTTATAGCACAAAAACTGTCAATATTCACTTTTCATCGCATCACAATTGCTATAAAGAATTTACGTTTTTTTAAGTACACATTTACTTATGTACACGCATTGAAATATCAATTTCCGATCAAGAAAGCAAGATTTTTATGTGCAATGATTTAAAAGTTATGCCAAATATTTCGGTAATAAAGTTAGAAGACGACAGTTATAGCAGAGTACACAGAGTTCTACAAAAAAATGCTTTTTCAGCCCAATTAAAACCAAACAAAGTTTGATTTTCGTAAGCTAATAGAATTTTAACATAAGTACCCTCGCTTTATATACGATCTTGTTTAGCATGCGTGCGTACGTGAATGCACTCCAAATGCCGCATGGATATCATGCAAATTGTCGCTTTATTCTTTATTCAACATATTTTTTTATTTTTTTATTTTTATTTTCTTTTTTCGTTTTTTGGTATTTATATGAATCATGTCCACCACATTCCAACGTACGGATAAACTAAGGAACAAACAAGCGAGGCGTCCCTGCGTTTGTCAGTGCATATAACATATTCACTTTTTCTGTTTCGAGAGTACAAAACGATGCACATGTACGAATATGAAAGGACGAATGCTTATATGTGTGTGCGCACATATACGCAGAAGCACACATACACATAATACAAAAGCAAAAGTAACAGCAGACGTTGGCAAAAACGATGTTGCTTGTTATTAATAATTGCTTTGTAAACTGTGACAATGAGATGATAGCTAAAAAAAGAGTAGCGAAAAGGGACGAACGAACCATTTCATGTGAGGGGTGCAGGGTGTTACTAAGCGAACTGCATGATGATGACACGAACAGCGCAAGAAGTTATATACGAGATGCAAAAGGAATATCCGACAAGCACAATACTACGTTACAAGCAAGAGTAGTGTTGATGGCTGTGTCAGCAATAAGCCAATATCTGGGTTTTGTTGTCTGTATCAGTTATGGCAATAAAAAAATATCGAAATTTAATTTGACAAAACAAGAAGTCTAGACATGAGCCAGAATAGAGAACTAATGATATCATCTCGGGTGAGAGAATAACAACTATATCGTCTGCGTAGTTATTATGGCCGTCATTAAAATTCCTTAATTGTCAATGTGATGTCATTATGATAACATCGGGCGCTGAATTTCTAATATCGATGAATACTTTCGATTCGTCAGTTTTTGTTGGTTTACTTTTACCGGTATCAGCAGCAATAGCTCTGTGACCTGCTGATATCGCCGTTGCAACGGCGTTTGTTGTGCTTGGTACATTGGATACGTTAGCCGCGGGAATATGATGATGTTGTTGCTGTTGCGGTATATGTTGACGTTGTTGACAATGCGGCAGTGTTTGTTGCTTTTGCTGTAAGTGCTGTTGATGTTGGTGATGATGATGACACAGTTCTTGCGGTGCTCGATGATATAAATGCTGTTGATGTTGCTGTTGTTGTTGTTGTTGTTGTTGTAGCTGTTGTTGTTGCTGTTGCTGTTGATGTTGCTGTAGCTGTTGTTGTTGTTGTTGATATTGTTGCTGCTGATGATGATGCTGTTGTAGTTGATGTTGTGGCAGTAATGAACTATGTCTTTGCTTCAGTTCTATGGACTCTTGTGGCACGTGCATATTGCGTCGCGACACGGCTGTTACTGTCAATGGGGCTGTGGGGGCAGAAACTTTTTGTTGCGTTTCGTAGCCAAACGTAGAAAAACGTGGCGGTGGTGGCACACTTTCGATAGTCCCTCTATCACTTCGTCCATCAGTACTGCTGCCACCACCACCACCATTGCCATTCAGAATAGATGTTTTTGATTTTTGACGCAAGAAGGTCGAAGTAGCAAATAGCGATTCCCTGTTAAAGAAAACAATTCCAATATATATTACTGAATACTTGTAAAAATTAATAAATTCCTTAATTATATAATAAGCCTTTGTACAAGTTCCTCTTACTTCATCCGCCCTGTCATGCTTACAATGTAACATATTTTAACATTTTTCACATAGTACCATCGATGGACAAGTATGAAGCGTTATGTGCTCTTATGAAATCATAGATGCGTAATACGAGTTACCTGTCAACCGATGATCCATAATTTTCGGGACTTTTTTTTGTTTGTTTGCAAAATTCAACTTTACTCGTAATCATAACCTTTTTTCTATGGTGATACAATCAGAGGCAATGCTTGAGAGAGCGACTTGTTTACACACTCAACATATGCTTCATTTTCCGTAATGACCCATTCATTTGATCTGGGACGATTTTCCCAGAGGTATTCGATTGAGACTTGCAAACAGTTAATGGTCGCTGTGGGTAACGTATGGAGAAATAACAATTCATACTTGGAGTGATGCAATTTTCTCATTGTAACCATCGACTTAAGCTATTGTTTTTTTTTTTTTTTTTGCCCCATTGTTGGTAAACGAATTGAAAATATTTGAGTATTTATACAATGCTTTTTAAGTTTGTTTTTTTGATCAAGGTTTAGTTTCACAGTAGATGCTCATGCTATTCATGAAATAAAATAAAGTCTTCCAAGATGCTGAATAAGCATTTCATCGAGTCGAAGAGAGCGGGGAGGGTCTTTCATTTCGAAATTTTGATCGAATTTTGAGATCCGTAACGAATAAATCATTTACTTACTTGCTGCCGATTTCGATAATTCATCTTCACAGATGTTGTTCATATGCATTCTACTATGATGGAATCATATGAATGAATATTTAAATCATTTATCACGAAAGCAGATCCGCGCTTTGATCATTACGTAACCTGTGACTGCACTGGAAATGCATATCGTCTTTTTGTGCAAAAAAAAAAAAAAAAAATTGGCTCTGGCTGAGATAGATAAGAAAGAGTCGTAGTTCGATAAATGTGAGATATTGTTCGGATATTGTGCAGTTCATATAAAATTACGCATAAATGTTATACCCCGTTAGCCCTACGTAGCTCTTCCCGTGCACCTGGAAGGCAACAAGACACACACACGACCAGACTCATTTCGTCCATCTTTTTCTGTCATTTGGAATACTTCTTTTCCGGCTTCTAATATGACCATGAAGCGTAGTATTTATGTCCACGGTAGCATAGGACATCTCCTGTGTAGATATGAAGCTATCTTGCAGCAAAAGTTTTGTCTCTTAATTTAAGTCAAGTTGGCATTTTTTTTAAGTGCCTACAACACAATTAAGAGTCATATCATTTTTCAAAATTCCCGTTGCTACGGTAAACGTCGAAAATATGCTAAACAAACTGTTATGGTCATCAAAGTCTTTAGCAAAAAAAATTTATTCTTTATTCTTAGGGATAAGTCTCGAAATAATATCCTCATACAACGACGATGCAACCTATAAAATAGATACATAGATAGATAGGCTCTTATCTTCATAATGGATTACTTAGAGCTATTGTCAACTCCATCACATCTGATGAACTTCCCGTGAAGCCAGGCATACCCCAAGGGGGCCACTTAGGCCCCATTCTGTACATCAATGATTTCCACTCGGTGATTAAGTTCAGCCATATCCTGATCAGGTGAAATCGTTTCCCTCATACCTTTTATTATGGAATCGCACTCTCATTTTTTTCAGTCGGATTAAGACAACCTGGATACGTGCTGCTTGGAAAATTTTATGAAATTAATTCCAAAAAAGTACAAGAAGCTTTCCTTCTCTAAACGGAATTCATTTTCGATTGAGTATTTCATTCGTTTAAATCCTATATCTATCTAAATCCTATATATTATCTATAAATAAAGCTGCATTTGTACTTGGCTTTGTTAAACGGCGGTCTAGCGAGCTTGACGATCTAGATGTTACAAGAAGGCTATTTATTAGCTTGGTGAGAGCAACACTTGAATATGCCTTAGATGTGTGGTCTCCTCCCTGTAGGTGCCATGTTGACTGAATAGAGAAACATAGATTTAATCTTGCTGCTTCCTTCTTAGTTAAATTAATAAATGGCGCTGGTATTGAACGGCCGACACCATGAGGGAAGATAAACTGGAATATTCGTAATCGTTCGTCTAGCAAGCGTTATTTTGATAAAGTTCAATCAATGTAGATACATGAGAACTATGAGTTTTTCAACCTATTTATAGATGCCCTTACAAAAATCTACAATCTACAAATCTTCAATCTAATCCTATTATTATCTGACTCTTCAAATCCTATCAAAACTAGTTTCTACAAGCAGCGAGCTCTACCTATGCCGTATTTAGGGCAACTGTTAACTGATGAAACCACATATGATTCGTAGAGAGAACTAAATATGTTTACTACAATTGATTGCCAAGTTTCTGCATGTTTGCAATGGTTTGCGGGTGCAGTCCCCATACGGATCTATTGCCCGTTTGAAAGCGCACCTCTGTCCTAGACGTGTATATGCATTTTTTTCTTCTTCTTTCTGCCTTTTGGTTTTGATTTTTCTTTATTTTTTTTTTTTTATCATTTTTTTAAATTTCATAAAAGTATTTATGGTAAGTAGATAAGATTTATTTTTAAGTCTCAATCTAATTCGGCTTTATGTTGTGTTAGCTGAATTTCATGTGTAGGTAAATAAGTAAATTATGAGTTAAAAGAATGATTGCAGATTTACTTTAAGCATTCTTCGTCGTTTTGAATCCTCCCCGTAAAGTGATTTTAGAGCAATATTTATATTGCTCTTAGTTATATATGAAGATGAGATCTTGTATTTTAAATGTATTTGAAAGCGAATACATGAAATGTATATATCTGAATGGCCGTCGGCTAAAAATACTAAGCAATTAATGTTTGCAAATCAAATGCATTTAATGCATAAAATTGATTCGTTGAATGTATCTGTAAAATTTTTAAAATCCAAAAGATTGTTTTACTTACTTTTCCTCTTGTTTTTTTTTTTTTTTTTTTCAAATAAGGTATCGACGCTCGAGTTTTTGTACACAAACGAAATTTTTAGGATATCCTGATGCTTCCGCAAAAGTATTAAGCATTAACTTTTAATACTTTGAAATTTCTAATACCCATACACGTATCCATACACGTACTTATATATATATATATATATACATACATATTTGTTTTACAATTTTACAATACTACTTATTGCAGCAGGGAATCATTCTATGCACATAAAAACACACATATACACACACAAACACACACATATATACACACACATACACACATACGCGCGCATCTATATATATTTAACTATTTATATCAATTGTATGCATGCGTACCTTGTCTGGCAACTCATGTCGCAAGCTCTGGGATGCGGAATTTGTGTTACTGTTGCTGTTGATTGTGTAGGTCGCTGTGGCGGTTGCGGTGGTGCGGTAATGGTACTTGTCGAGGAATCATCGGTATTGTAGAGACTAGTTTGTACAATCATATCATGTTGTTGGTGACGCAATATGCTGTGGTCTTTTTCTTTTGCTGATTGCACTGCAATGGCTTCCACTTCACGATAATAACGGTTGGAAACATCGTCGAGTATTTGTAATGAGGTCTGCGAGTGCTTTTGCCTGAAATTCAATTGAATCAAATGATGCTAATAATTGTAAATGTCAATCGTGACAATATTTCTTTAAAATGTCCCTTCTTAACGCCTATCAATATAGTTACGTATCAAAGAACCGGTATGCTATCAATAAATCGATTTCTAAGCTTTCCTCTATTTTTATATTTCAATAATACAAAATCAACATATTTCCTATTAAAATGTATTTCTCTGCAATAAATACATTAAGCTTCGATACCGAGCTTAAATCTTCAACGAAATATAAATATTTCGTCCTGCCTAGCGAATGTGTTAGTTAAGGTATCGTTATTATGCACATCACCGAACGGTGAACGGAATATTCATTTTATCAAAATGTTTGCAACGCCCAGGCGGTAGCTTTAGAGATCTCACAAAATGCATATACACATATCCAGCTTGCTTGATCAGCATTAAATTCTAAATTCGATTAAAACATGTCCATCTGTCCATCTCTCCGTTTGCACAGTGTCTGTTGTAAGCATTCTTCTGGCCGCAAAAATGAAGCTATCGACTTAAAATTTGTCAAAGGAATTGAAAGGTTTCTGCGCACATATTGATATTTGGAATGGGTTAAATCGGCAAAACGGCACGCCTACAATACTACGTAAACTGTAAAAAACCTTTATTTTTCAAAAGAAATAAAAATTTGGTGCTTTGCTCAGTACTCACAAGCTGCAGCAGATAAATTTGCAAAAATTTCAAGATACATCTGTGGATGATGCTGTAATGCCTGTACAAAAAGTGGAGAAAATCGATCCCGGCTACCTAATATTATAGTTTGTTACATTTATTTTTTTCTCAATACTTTTACGACGCGCAGGAGCAAGCTTTAAAAACCCCATAAAGTATAGAAACTTTTGGCCAGTTCCAAATTCTAAATGCGCCTCAGCTTGTCTATCTATTAGATTGTCCATCTGCCCATCAACTATTCATCAGCCACCAACTGTGTAGCATCAGTGATAAACATTCTCCCGTTAGCGAAAATGATTACATTGCTTAGAGGTTGGAAAAAGGTTTTGAAAATAGCCTAGACCGGGCGAAGAGCACGCCTGCAACGCCTGCAAGTCTATACAACCAAAATTGTGAATATCTTGTTTTTCGGGGTCTTTTGCGCGTTGATCGTAAAATAGAACAGACACGCGATATAAATTTACATAAAATCCGCCTGAGTGGTCGAGTAGGCAAGAGTCTCGACTAGCAACTCAATGGTCGTGGGTTCAAATCTCAAGTGCGGTAGAAAGCCGAAAGCCTTAGATGCTAGTGCTTTAAGACTTTAGTCTTAGAATTTATTCTCTGGCTAAGTTTATAATAATAATAATAATAATAATAATAATAATAATAAATTTACATAAAATAAGTTTCCAGAAAAAATTAGCTACACCCACCTAATTTTTATAGAATAACGACGATGGGTACAAAAGATTCGGTCGCAACCGATTATTATTTTCTTATTTGCTGTCATATTGTCGTCGTTATATGGCAGAGCTGCAAGGTTTTGAAGTAGATTAAAATTTCCATAATCATTCATATTTCCCTCATAGCATCTTGGATGGAGTAAAACTCTTTTATCTATGAAAAGAAGGTACAGCAAAAGAGCAAAAAAAATTTTTTTTGCGCTTGAGGTTACAGTACTTTTATTGACCTGTGTCTGATATGTTGCAAGTATGTACAAGTGCTTCGGCTTTAGTTTTAGTTTGTCTTCGACAAGATTTCCCTCTGAGCAGTCGTATGCAAATCGCTTTAATCTGAATTGGTTTTTGACGTTTCTGTTTCCGTTTCTGTTTCACAAATCCTACCACCAACTTTGGATTATATTTCTTTTTCTTCTAAAATTTAGTCAATCAAAAAAACAAAGAGGATTCAGGAGATGATGTACTAACTGAAACAGTTTCAAATTTAATGCGAAATTTAACAAACTGTTCTATCGCAAAATTACTTACTACCTTTGCATTATTTTCTAATAGCACTATTGATTTCATTGAATTCGAATTGTAGTTTCATTATAATTGAAAAATGAAATTAAAGGAAAAATGGTTTCTTTTTTCATCCTGACATCCAGTACTTTTTGTTCTGATAATGAACGATGAGCTAGTAAGTATTTATTATCTATAAAAACAATAGGAACTAAGTGCGCCAGATGTCAAATAATACTTTGGTTACGTCATATCCGCTCTTCTCTGGTTTAGATGAAAGCTGGTTCACAGATCAAGCTCAAATTGGCTTGAAAATGGAAAAGAATCTTTAAGAAAAAGAAAGCCTCCAAACATTTGCTATCGATCCACGGAGAACTTCAGTGAAAAAAAGACCTTGACTGTCCTGTTCATGTTTAATAATATTTAAGTATTTGTTGAAACTGATTGGCGAATCTTGAATTCCTTTCGAGGTGACTTTAGCGTTGCCTTTCGATCTTACATGTCCTTTGAATAACGCGCTTAACCGTTGAATATAAAAGTTCTCCGCGTTTTTTTCTCACTAAATCAAGTTGATGCCTATATATCGGGCAACGCTCACCTGATTGTCTCAAACGTAAATCTGCGTAAAAGGTGACATTTCTGCTTACATTTTTCGTGAAGATAGTTTTCTAAATGTTTGCTCGTGCAAAAGATTATATTGATTTGAAAATGTGTGAAATATCTGATGAAATACGCCATGTGATGCTTCTTTACTATTAAAGAAAATAAACCATGCCGAAAAATTTGTGAAGTGTACGCTGTGAGCGGACGAAGGGCTCAGAAGTGGTTTGCCCGGCTCGATTTCAAAAATGCACCTCGCAATCACTGAAAAAGTCGATGAAATTTTACAACTGCCAGAGGAAGACCGGCACGCAAGCTGTCAAAAGATAGCGGAGGCGCCAAACATCATCCACATAACGGTTGGAATCATTGAAAAAGAGCAGGCAATAAAAAGAAGCTCAAAAGCAGATCAAAAGACCGCGGAGAGCTTTTATATCACTCATTATAATGTAATAAGAGACATTGCTTACTGGTTGCACACTTTGTCGCACACACTTTATATGCTCTTAAAAACTTGACTGCTATTCAAGTACCATCACATATGCTTTCTGCTTGCGTGCTTGTCATCGTTTTCAAGTGCGATGCCGTACGCAAAATGCGAGAGATATTATTTAACCTTTAAAGTTTTGACGCGATAGCAAAGAAAGTAGAGATACCCCTTAGGCGCACCTGAACTGTCTGGGGTAGGAAGTCCTTGAAATTTATTTGGTAATTTTTTCATTACTCAACTTGTTTACTCAGAACATCTCTCTAAGTCTTTATGTCGATTGTTTGTAAATTACTATTTTTAATAAATTTTTAATAAATGATAACTGACTTCGTCGATATCGGTTCACTCACTTGACATCTCCACCCACACATATATGTATAAATGTTAATCTAACATTTATTGGCTACAATTGGCGCAAAGAATTTGTAAATCGGCAGCAGTGATCTAATTTCGATAACATTCCAGAAAGCCTAGCACCTTGATTGATATATTTAATACTTCGAACACATGTCCTATTTAATGGAAGTCACTTTACATTCTCATGCCAGGAATATAAAGAGTTGCATATTTGTTATCTTCTCTGTGCAGTAAATAGGAGACAGCACTACACTATACTACTCACAGACTCCACTTATATATATTGATAGGCTGTCGATTGAGAATGTCATTCGAAATGCAAAGCTCACTTTGTATCTTGCCCTCTCTTGTCGACCGCATAGTCTTTTGTAAGAAGAAAACGAGTACATTTCGAAAGATGCACCTGTGTACGCAATGGGTAAAAGCATCAATAAACTCATTGAATTTGTTAGTTGTTAGTTGTTGTACAAAAAAAAAAAAAAAAACCTTTTCTTCACAATTATATTTATATTTAGTGTTACACAAAATTGTAACATTTTGATGACTGCAGTTTTATTTTTTAATTTGTTTACAAAAAGATATTACATAGAGTTCTTGTTTCTCCTTGCGGGCCAACAATCTTCTTCTGTCTTCCATTTGTTCCCTTTTTTTTTTTTTTTTTTGCTTGCCAGAACGTATCAGCTGATAGAGGTACCGATAACACATAATATTTTTTACAATCGCTACTACACTGCCAGTGGCAACCTTTTTTGGTGACAACATTCATTAATTTGGTCACTTACGTTCTGCGTTTATCGTAAAAGATATTGCTTTCTTTATTATAAAAGGGGTCATTCGGCCCACTTTGGCACGGAGTATCGATAATTAATTGAAAAAAGAGGAGGATGCGATAAATTTGTCATTTCATTGCCATATAATACGAGTCAGAAATAACATTTGTTATGCGCACATATATCGAAATTTTGAACCATTGTAGTGAGTAACAAGTCTTCATATATTTTTGAGGTTATGGTTACAAATTTAATTAACTCTTATGCATTCTTAAATATGTATATTAATAACTTGCAAACATTTTCCATTAACGACCGACAATTTGACAAAACTTTTGAAAGTCAAGGCTAATATTTTCAATCAATTTTCGTAACATTGGGTAGAAATATATTTAAAGTCAAATTAACTAACTCCCACGCACTCCAGGGTATATAGAATAGAAAAGCGTTATAAGCAAATTTTCATTAATATGTGGAGAAAACTTGAATAAAAATATTAAATATATGGATATATAGCATAAGTCCACTCACCTAGGTGAAACTACTGCGGATAGATTGTCACGAGAACGTGCTTTCGAATGCCGACCCATTTCGTCTAATTTACTCTCTTTAGATTGACGTATGTGTTGCTGCAAATTAAAGTGACAGTTATTAAATACAACGCTTAATCAATCACTCAATCAATCAATCAATCAATTTTATAATTAACTAAATGCTCTCATTAGCTTGCTTCAAGATTTTCCCGGTGATTCGAATTATCAAAAAAAAAAAAAAATTTTTTAGAAAATTTTAGAAATTTGTTTTTTTTTTTTTTAGTAAAATTTGCTGCTAATAATTTATTTAGCAGGAAAATTTTCTGCTAATAATTTACTTAGCAGGAAATTATATTTTAATTTGTGCAAGATCTAAGCAAGAAATCAGTTGTTCGTCCCTCTCAACTGTTTAAACAAATTACAAAAGTAGAAATAAAAAGCATGATGCTGCTATATGAATAAAATATGATAGTTGATGGAGAAACTTTTCAATTAATTAAAAAGCCGAAACTAAAAGGTACAAAAAAAAAAAAAAAAAAAAAAAAAAAAATTGACCTGAGATTGCCAAAGAAATATTATGAAATGAAGAATAAGATAAAGAAGGCAAACGTACACATAAGTAACCAGAGAAATGTAGGTTAATATCTAAGTATTTACGCATAGTTAGACAATGGCAGAGAAAGCTTGTGTCAAACATAACAAAGAAATTATATTTGGATATTGTATCAAACTTTTTAAAATACCCACCACTCGCATATATACGATATTTGAATGCAAGTAAAATCGACCTATGATTTATTCGCTCAGTATACATCGTTTATCGTTTATCGTATCTCGTATATCGTATATCGTAAATTATATATCGTAAATCATATATATTTTACATAAAATATCGTATATATATTAAATTATATTTTTATGCAATTATGGCAGCACTGCGTAAACAATTTTAAATAAGAAAAGAAAGAGAAAATCATATTTACATACTCTTTCAAAATTATTGACGAATTCTTATTACTTTGGCTGATTTTTCAACATCACAATCCAACTTAAATGCTTCCAGTAAAATTCCAAAATTTCGGAAAAAAAAATATGCCTCATTGTTATATAGTGTGGCACGAAAAAAGTCGAAGTCAAGTCTATTTTGGTTTAGAGACTCTTTAAGGTGTCAATCATGTTTCCAACGGGCGCGCATGGTTTAAACGATCCTCTTATAATATTTGATAGATCTAATATTTAACGTTTATCTATGATAGGCTAAAAGAAAATTATTCGTATTAAGGCAGATTGATAACAAATCCAAAAGAATCACTTAAAGTCAAAATTCTGAAGATATTGTTTTAAAGCTTTTTATATTTATGTAATTTAAAATCTCATTGACAGGAATATGATAAGCTTAACAAAGTAATAGTAACATAGTGGCAGATATGTATATAACAGATTTAAGTGGCTCTGAAGACACGAGTGAATTGTCGAACAAAGTGTTCGCTTTACATTCTCACTTCACAAATTTTGCATACATTAGAAATTCATAACATTATTATACTATGCAATACTGTGAAAAATTTATTCCTATCGAATTTTGTAGAGTGTCAGTAGAAGAGACTTAGGTTATGCGTTTAAATAATTTCGATCATTAGTCGGCATAGAGTTCAAAGACGACATTTTACATACACAATGGATAAAAAAAAAAAGTAAAAAAGATCCTTACATTTTTTTTTTTTTTTTTTTTTTGTCTACTACAGTGAGCTTTAAGTGAACAAGATTTTAATGCTCTTAGGAAGATGAGGATGACAACTTTATTATTTGGCAAATGGAACTGAGAGAGACAGACAGACAGAGAGAGAGAGAGAGAGAGAGAGAGAGAGAGAGAGAGAGAGAGAGAGATTAATCGACTTTTTATTTACTTAGTGCAATCAATGCTTAATAACAAAACGATACCTCATTTATTCAAAGACAATTAGTCCCATGACGAAGGCCATTAAGATGTAATTGCAAGCTTGGTTAACGTAAATTCGAAAATCTTAAAAGATAAGAAACTTGCAAAGCCGATGAATGCCAATTGTTAATAAAGAGAGGAATACATATATATTAACCCGATAACTCGTGCTTTTGTTTATAAAATCGTTTCACTTTTCATTATTTAGTTAAAAAGCTGTACTATATTAGCGGTCTAACTAGATGGAACGACTATATGGCTGCGATTTTACATGAGAGGGAATGCTAAATAATATCAGAGTAACATCTACGTATTTGTAGTCAAATAAATTCACAATAATAGAAAACATTATTTATGTAATTTCTCGAAAATAAAAAATTTTCCCTGTCGTTGTAATAGAATTAAGCATTGCCCAGCGAAATCTGATCGACATGTCTTAGGGATATAAGTGGATATGTTCCCAGATTGAAGAAGAAGTTATTGGAATGCCTAAGCCTCATCTCTGTAAGAGTTTTTTTTTTTTTTCTCACTACCCGTTCCCTTCTTTGACTCAAACTGTTCATGGCTGCTTAGTTGTAAGTGTTAGTCCATTTTATAAATGGATGTTTATTTGCTTTCCATTCTTTACCTTTCATTCTTCGCTGCCATTTAACCGAAAAATATGTGGGGAATGCTAGCCTAATATGAAGCTCTGCGTTAGCTTTATGACCGTTTTTTACTTTTCCCTTCGACAGATGAACTTTAAACGGAATATTCTTTTTTTCTATTTTTTTGTTTTTTTTTTTTTCATATTATTTTTTGTTTTGTTTTGTTATTTTTACTTTGCTTTAATAATTTAATTATAAGAGAAAATATTGAATTTAAACACAAAGAACACTATCGTTGTGTTTATTGATTATCGCAAAAGCATTGATATTGTAACTTGTCGTTCGCGGTATTAGTCGTGAGATATTTCATATCACCCGCTGTTGACGAAACGGTATTAGCTGTCTGCGGTGATTGTGACGAATTGCTCGTATATGAAGTTGAGCTGGCTGAAAAGTCATCCTGTACGTCAGCGGTCGCCAGTAGATTTGAATGCCATTTACAGCGCGATGGCAGCGATCTCTGTGGTACTATTACAAATTCATCACTTTCGGCGTTAATAGCGTAACATATTTGTTCTTCAGAGCCTTGCTCGGAATAAGGTGATGATGTATTGTTTGAAATAGCAGTCATTATCTCATCATCATTTTCAGTTTCGTAGTCGATGTTAATATTGCTGTCACGTCGGTATTTCCGTTTAAAATCATCTTGCAGGCCCACAATTATAGCAGTTTTTGGCACACCCAAGATGAATGAGTCAATATGGTAAATGCCATCGCTTAACACCGGAACATCCTAAGATAGAATATACAAAAGAGAACACAGAAAGAAAGAGGAAAGAATAGCATATCGAGAGAATTTATGACTTCTCTACAACCACACATTTAACATCAAAAAAAAAAAAAAAAAAAAAGAAGAAGATACAACAACACATATGGATGCATGGGGATACTATTAAATTGCTAGAGTGTGACAACACATACAGACCGACAACACTAAACGTACATAAATAAATACACAAGGAAAGGGTCCGCTTGTGGTTGGAGGTTTGAGAATGTTTACGTTTGCTGCGCAAAAAAAAAAAATAAATAAAACTTTTTAGCTAAATATAATTGTGAGTGAAGGAGTTGAGTTGCAAGTACAAACTGTAGAGAAAAATATGAAAAAATATAAAAATAAAATGAATGAAAATGAAATGAATATGCATATGACTTAAGCGATCAGACGGACGCACGGACCATTTGTGCGAATTTTGTACACATAACCGATGGATGTATTGGAGAATATTGATTAATTGAAAATTCACATTACGCATCTTTTGATATTCTTTATTTATTTACGTCCATACGTCGATTTAAGCATTCACTTACTGCAATTCGTTTAATGGCAAAAAACTCAAGAGACAAGATGTTGCAACTGAGCACATATGTGGTTAGTTAAAATTAATTAATGTCCAGATATTTTTTTTATCACATTAAGAAAAATAAGTTTCCTGCCCTTAGCCCTTAGCCTATAGCAAGCAAATAGCAACTTAGATTTTGGCGTAAATATTATGATTATGGGTTTTTTACAAGTCAGCTTAAAAAAATATTTAGCTCGACATTCAAAAAGTGTCTACACAAAGAAAAATATGCGTACATTTGTGCATCATGCGGTAAGTATTTGGATATAAGAGTAGATAGAAATCATCGACATGTCCTGCTTTCTATATCAATCACGCAGATATTAATCATATCACATCGACCACGTAGAAGTGAAATAAACTTTTGTAAGGAATTTAGAAAAACGTTATAAAAGTGTACAAGTTTGATTAAGTTCCCATATAGAATGATTCATTCGTGCGCATACAGAGGCTGAGAAGGGAATGAAAGATGTTTCGTATAAGCGAAACTTATTTGCAGAGATTTGTTAAAGATAATATTTTATATCGACGATCAAATGATTTTATCAATTTTTGCCATCAGGGTATCAGGAAGTTTTTATTACGGATCTAGTGTACTTTGAGTGATGAGCGTTCTTACTTTAACTTCTTCTTCTTTTTTTTTCTCCTTTTTGATATGGGCAGTCACTCAGGAGATTGACCCCTATTCGAGTAAAACTGGGACTGTCCGAAACGAAGAGACGAAAGAGGAGGAAATAGAAAGTCGGTGACCTCGACCTAGTGGGTGTTATGCAATTTTATCGACTTAGCACTCACTTTAGCTACGATCAAAGAAAGAAAACTCTGCCTTAGTTGAGATTTGCACCCGTGAGCACTGACTTGGGAGTCCTTGGTAATCTTACCTACTTAGCTGCTCCTGCACGGTAGGCAAGAGCAATTTTGATCAATTTGTTTGAACAAATTTGAAGGCAACAATTGCAAACATGGACAGACGGACAGACGGACAGACGGAGAAACGGATGAACGAGAAGATGGACAGAGGAGAAGATTGATATGGTTTGCTCTATTCTAAAATTGACACGAGTCACGAATATGCATTCTAATATCTTTTAAGGGGTCTCTGAAACTTCCTTTCTGAAAGGTACAAAAGTTTTGACAAAAGAAATGAAACTTTGGGACTTTGCAACATTG